GTGACCCGAGCTGGCCCATGGCAGCTCGGAACACTCCCCAAACCGAACTCAAGACATTTCGCTCGCCACTCCAGCACTTCGCTTCCGTCACACCAGACTGACCAAACGTACCTGACACCAAGGACGTCCGTATCCAAGGGCGGCGCACCTGACTGATTTGGGATCTGAAGCATGACAGCCGCACTTCAAACGGTCTCCTGCTACCGCCACCTGCCACCGTCGTTACCAGCCGTAGAGATGGCTCCAACAAAAGGAGAAGTGGCGGTTCTGTCCGGCCAGAGGAAATGATATCCGAACTGGCAGGAGCTCAGAGATAATCATGCCTGATCTAACAGAAGCCTGGAAGTGAGTGCGCGAGGTGGTTATAAAAGGCTCCTACCCCCCAAGAACAAGGTATGCTAACTTTTGCGCTATCTGGCTTATCTTGCCTTTGAAAGACTCTAACTTGAGCTTCGGAGCCCTTACGCCAGGTTCTCCCTGGAGCTTCTTCACTCCCTCCGTTTCAGGTCCCCTGCCACTCAGTTCAGAGGCAAGATCGTTGACAGTTAAGATCGGCCAGATTGTGCAACATCAGAAATTATTGCGATTTAATTACCATTTTAAACTACTTTGATTGCAAAATAGAACCTAGAGCAAAACAAAATAAATTAAACCCGAAACAAAAGTGAACCAAATTTTACAATTTTTTTTTTCTGTTGCACTTTCATGCATTTATAAATAGTACAAAAGAATTGCACTATGTTTACCAAAAGGAAAAAAAATTGCACTATAAACAAATAGGGACATGCTAATTATTTATTTATGTATTTTTGGAACACGGATTGAATGAATGGGATTGACTTGCAAAAGTAGAAGCAGGCGTGCACGCACATACACACACCACACACATATACAATATTCTTTTTCTTGACATTATCATTTGTTTGTTTATTTCCAATTTTCCATCTAATGGAGGACATGACAATCACTATGGAATATTGTTTTAAAAAGGCTTAAGCCTTGAGACATGAGTTATACACCCTATAGATTTTGCCTTGAGGCTTAAGCCTTACAACTTTAGTGTGAGGTTTAGGCCGTTGTTATAAAGAATCATATACTTTAAATTTCAAGTGTAAAAGGTGTAAATTGTAAGAATTAATGACTATTTAGTGATCTAATACAAAAAATATATTTTATAGTTCAAAATATATAAGAAAAACGCTTTAATAATTATGGGCGAGATAAACACTAAAATGAAAAACCAATAAAGCAAATCAAACTCTTAGTTTTTCTTGGTGTTTTAGGAGAGTCCAATGCATAGAACCAATGAATTTCTTATTACTCTAAATCTAACATCCCAAGTTTGTTAGTTTCTCATTTTTCCTTGCAATGGATTTATTTTCTTTTCTTTATAGATTAAATCAACTAAATTCCTTCCTTTATTCTAAATTGTTTGGTGACCGTAAATCTAATATCAATTACATGGATAATCATACAATTTTGATAATGGTGAAAAATTTTTGATAATCTAAACCATTATGACTGGTTACTTGAATAACTCGAGAACTTTGGATTTTGAAACTTGGAATTAAATAAAGAGTCTATGATTGTTAGTTAGTTATTACGTTATTTAACACTTCAAAAGGCTAAAACTTATTGATTATAAACTTATGTATAAATCTGTTCATGGGCCGGGCCAGGCCGGGCTTTCACTCTATATTAACAGATTTTTCTAAGGTCTGGGACCATTGGGCCTACAACTTGGGCTCGAGTCTGGCCCTCGTAAAAAGCCCAAAGCCCGGGCCTGGGCCCGAGTCCGAAATTTAGCCCATGCTATTACTACTGCTGAAGCGGCTAAATAGAGAGAGAGAGAGAGAGAAAGAGAGACTATAAAGAAAAAAAATAAAAATGTATATATTAAATTATAAATATCTATATTTCAATAAATATTATATTATTTATATATTTTATAAATATACATATTATGTATTTTATAAAATATATAATGCTGAGTTGGGCTAGGCTTTTTTGACAAATCTCGAGCCCAGCCCGAAACACAATCGGGCTTACTGTGTCAGGCCCGCAGGCCTAATTACATGACCAAGCCTGACCGGGGTGCGGGCCGGGCCATCGGGCTACCCGGCCCATGGATAGGTCTACTTATATATCTTCTATATCGTTCTGATTTGGTATATTACATCTTATTTTCTTCATTTATAAATTTTGATTAAAATTGCATTATGTCTCAACTCTTTGGATCATTACACCTCAACTAGGAGACTGAATCTGCTCTTCACATAGGACATCTCACAGGCACATCCTACTATGCATTGGAACGTCTCCTGTTTTTATAAGTTAATTTTCACCGGAGATGTTTCCAATGCACGATGGATGTGCATGTGAGGCGCGCCCAAGTGTGTGTGAGGAGCAGATCCCGTTCCCTCAACTACTGCCTTTAAAACCAAACGAAAAAAAAAAAGTAAATAATGTACCTTAATTGGTTATTCATTAGCTATTGACTTATTGTGCTTTTGTTTTGGATTGAATACAAAAGATTAGTTATACTTTTCCATGCTATAGCCTATAGAGAGAATAACAGGTTTTTCGTTCTCTTCGAAGGTCCACCGAGACCTTGCCATTAATCCAACCACTCCAACCAAGCTGCAAGGAATGAGTTATCGGATAGTGAGCTGTCGATTTGATTGCCGCTTGCTGGATTGATCCTTTGAGTTCGCCACGGTCATTCTCAGATTCTCATCCGACGGTTGAAAGCTGGTCACTGTTTCATAAAGGTCTCATGAAGTACTAAAATGCTTTATACATGTAACACCACCAATCCATCCATTCCGTATTTCCATTTTCCTTGCTAACGAAGTAATTGGAGCCTATAGGTTGATGAGACTTTAAGACACACGGGCCCCACCACTAACACGGATCAGTTGTTCATCTCTTATATCTTCTATTTTCGAAACATTGGATCCCAATTCCCAACCCAATGTTCTAGTTCGATTTCAAAAGTTGGTTTACGGATTTTACATTGTTTTATCTGTTCACAATAAAGCCAAAAGCAAAATAAAATAAATTAAACCCGAAACAAAAGTGAACCAAAATTTACAAATTTTTAAGTTGCACTTTCATTTCATTCACCATAAAAAAATTGAGACATTAACTATTTATTTGTGTTTTTCTCTGAGAAAGGATTTGAATGAATTGGGTATGACTTGTACAAGTACTCACACACATCTTTTCTTTGCATTATCATTTGTTTAGTTTTAGTGGAGGATATGACAATCAATGAGGAGCATTGCTTTCAAAGGCTTAAGCCCCGTGACAAGGCATGAGCTGTATGTCTTTAGCTAGGTGAGGTTTAAGCCCTTGTTAGAAAGGGGCACATACCTCAAATGGGAGTTAAATGCATAGAACCAACTGATTTCTTACTTTCTCCTGGTTAAATCAAATGGGATTTTTGTTTCTTAGTATTCTAAATCCAACACCCCAACTTTGTTATTGCCTTGTTTTTGTTTCGGATGGATTTATTTTCATTTTCTTCTTCTTCTTCTTCTTATTATTTTTGATGTAGATAAAAGTGACTAAGTTGTGTTATTTTTCTAAATTATTCCGTGGTCATAAATCTAATACCAATCATATAAATGATTTATCAAACGATCCTATTTGTGAAAACAATTTTTTTAATGGAGAATCTTTGATAACCTAAACCATTATGATTGGTCGCTTAAATAAGTTGACAACTCTGGGTTTTAAAACTTGCAATATATAAGGTTTACAATTGTTAGTTGAATGGTTATTATTATTTTTTAAAGTGTAAAGACTAGAACTTATTATTGCTTATAAATTTCTATTTTATGGGTACTGAAAAGTAAAGTAAGGTCATGTGCTAAATATATTAATTGACATATATAATCACATTTAGCTTCTTATTAGCTGAACCAAAAACAAGACAAATATATATCTTATAATAATATAGATTTATATTTTATATTGTTCTAACTCAATATATTATATATTATTCTTATTATTTATATATTTTAATTAATTTTTTTCTTTAATTTGGATGCTTCTGCCTATAAATTTACTCTCACCTTTTTTTTTGGGCCATTAAGCCTTTTTCTTGCTTTCTTTTTAAAGGGCTACACTATGGGATAACCCCTCTAACCCAGGTGCAGGTAGGATTTGATCCTAAATCTCCACTACGGAGACATTACTATTCAACTGCTTGGCACCTTGCAATAATAATTAATTTGGAAGAATAAAAGAACTAGAGGCTTCATAAATATAAATTATAAGATCTTATATTTTGTATATTTGTATTTGTATTCTTTTAAAATAAGCCAAAAGAACAAAAGAATAGAAGCTGGAGATGGGGGGTAAAATCAGACTTTTGAGAGAAAGAGAGATAGAAAAGAAAGGACCTGTGGTGTTGTTCATTAGTCATTGTGCTTTTGTTTTTGAATTGAATACAAAAAAGTAGTTATTTTCCATGTCATAAAGAGAAAAAGAACAGCCTTTTCCTTCTTTAGGTGCTTTGGGTTGAGCCTTACTCTTTCAAAAAGCTACATGTACGTGTGAAAGCAGATTTTTTAGGTCGAAGGTCCACTGTATCGAGATCGGATGTGTTTCTCACACAGCGCGCCTCACACCGATTTTACATACACATTCCACCGTATATTGGAAATATTTCCGATATTCACGGGAGATATTTTCAATGTATGATGAGATGCGTATGTGAGATCGGTGTGAAGCGCCCTGTATCAGAATTCACATCTGCGCCGAGTTCACATCTCCGCCCCACATGCGTGCATTGGGAACATTTACCGTATTTATCATTCAGAGATATTCACAATACACGGTTTGAATGTACTTTAGAGCGCTCGTGGGGTGCGTTCTGTGGGCGGCTGGGCGCAGATGTGAAATCGTCGAGCAGATCTGCAATAAACGAATTATCGAAGATTGAGCCGTCGATTTGATAGTTTGAGTGCGCCACGAACTTTCTCCGATTCTCATCCAACGGCTGAAAGCTCGTCATTATTCCATAAAGGTCTCATGAATCACTAACGTCTTATCAAGTTCTACCCGGTAAAACCATCCATGTGTTCTTTGTACTATCTACTGCTGTTGAGAACCTGATGCTCGAGACCACGGGTCCCACCACTGACACTGATGACCCATTTGATCCAACGCGATCAATCCAAGCCGATTCTCTCGTCTACTACTCCTCGTCGCTGTTCGTTCTGGATTGAAGTTTTGTATCAAATTCCAATCTGACAACAGAAAAACCTGCTTCTTGCAAGGAACCGTGCGCTTCAAAAAGAATTTCTGGTAACTTGATTGAAGAAAAAAAAGAAACAAAGGTGTGGTGGGGTGGGGGGGAGCGACTAGCGAGCTCCTCGAGAAGCGGGAGGCGGCGAAAGAGATCGACTGACGAAGTCGAGAAGCATCTGCTATGCACGTATAAACCTCGTCAGTGGCTCAGTGTTCGTCCTGAACAGCTACTGGCAAGGAGCAACCGAACAACTTGATCAGAATTCACAAGGGAGAGATAGAGAGAGAGGAGAAGGGAGAGCTGGTACCTGCTGGTAGAGGGAACTAATGGGGGTTCCATCGTTCTACAGATGGCTGGTTCACAAGTATCCCAGCACTGTGGTGAACGCAGTAGAGGAAAGAGGACACGAAATTGATTCCAGCAAACCGAACCCAAATGGAATCGAGTTCGATAATCTTTATCTGGACATGAATGGAATCATACATCCCTGCTTCCATCCTGAAGACGAAGTTCGTTAATCATCTTGTCTCTTTTGATTTAGTTCCTTCCTTTGCTTGCTTAAATATGCTTTTCTTGTTCATCTTATCTTAGGCGTTTAGAGAACAACCGATTTTTCAAAATTTTATAAGAGAGATTGCTTTTTAGTTTCTTCATCACACAGGCAATCGTAATAAGTAACCCAGAAATTCCTCTTCTTAGTTACTGTTTCTCCGCTGATGTCAGTGGAAATTAGATGTTGGGCACGGTTCACTTTACGTTTTGTGTAGATGTTACGAATACTTTGCGTGAATATTTCAACACATTAGTGTAGTGTAGTTTAACTCAAACTGGCAATCTGTAATTCTCTGTGCTTTACTCTTACTTGGATTTTGATTTGGTGTAAATTTAATTAATGCAGTTATTTCCACCCACAACCTTCCAAGAAGTATTCGAGAGGATATTTGAATACATTGATCGGCTTTTTCGTATCGTAAGACCCAGAAAGCTACTTTACATGGCAGTTGGTGGGTGGACCCCCTTCTTCTTCTTCTTCTTCTTCTTCTTCTTCTTCTTCTCTGCATGAATTCTCTATCTCCTTTCCTCTTGTCCTTTTTCTCTGCCTGTCCGTCTCTCGCTCTCGTATGGAATAATTGAACATGAGCAGTCCCAGTGTCCGTGTGGACTGCAGTAAGACAGTTGACCTGTTTAAACTCGGCGATTCGACCCGTAACTCGGACGGGTCGGTTCTGCTCGGGGACCGGAGGAGAAAACTCAGGGCTCATTTGACGTACCCAGAGTTTGAGAGCTCGAAAATCGATTAAAATTAGTGAGAGTTTTCCTTGGTCTACCGTAAGATTGGTGATTTAGGTGTGCCGAGTTGTTGGCCTCAGATGAAATCCAAGGCTCCACTTCTCACGTAACAATGCATGTAGTATATATATATCTTTAGTTCTTGATTCAAGTTTCTGGTTCATGGTTCCTGACGTTATTATTCTTCGTTGTGTTGAAATGATTCTGGTACGTGATGTTTCAAATAGATGGCGTCGCTCCAAGAGCTAAAATGAATCAGCAGAGAAGTCGCCGCTTCCGAGCTGCTAAAGATGCTGAAATGGCGGTCAGTTTTGTTCACCTCAGTCTATTATGTAGATTCGTGGCATTACTTGATGTGCTCGGTTTTGTTTCTTTTAGGAGGTTGAGGAGGAAAGACTCCGTCAAGAATTTGAACTGCAAGGGAAGCTTGTTCTTCCCAAGCAAGAGTCTGAGGTTTCAGACTCTAACATCATAACCCCAGGAACCGAATTCATGTTTAAATTGTCAGAGGCTCTGCAATCTTATATCCGTTCAAGGCTGAATAATGATCCTGGTTGGAAGCAGATAAAGGTTTGGATTCTTAACCAAAGTAATTGGTCTTTTTCCCAATAGGCTTCTTCTGCTCTAAACAGGAAATTCAGTTTAAGGTGATTCTACATTTGTTTATGCGTCTATATGTAATTCTCAATATCTAGCATATAATTTTCCCATATTTTCTTGTTTTGAAGGTTATTCTATCTGATGCAAATGTTCCTGGAGAGGGTGAACATAAGATAATGTCATTTATCCGCTTACAGCGCAATCTTCCAGGATATAATCCAAACACCCGCCATTGCTTGCATGGTTTGGTATGACAAAACTTCTTTCTGCTTCATGATTTTCAATTTGTCAAAATGAAAATTGCATTTTTTTTGGGTTTAATAACTGCATTTATAGTTTTACTTTGTTCACCTTTAGGATGCTGATCTGATAGTGCTAGCATTGGCAACACATGAAGTGCATTTCTCTATATTGAGAGAGGTACATGATGAAGATTATCTTTATAGATTTGGGACTTACAGATGGTAAATTTTGATCTTATCTCCTACAATCTCGAGATTCTATTGATTCAGTATGCTATCTATTACCTTCTGTTTTTAGGATCTTCTGACTCAAGAACAGCAACCAATCTGCATGAAATACTTGGAATCCAGCATTGGTATGGCTGAATCTGGATTAGTGAAGCAAAGTGGATGGTTTCGAAATATTAATGCAATGGAAGGGTGTCGGTTGACTCATAAAAAGCCTTATCAGGTGCTTTATTACTTTAACCTTCAAATAATCTCAAGGCAATGTCTTTATATCTGCACCTTTTAATGGTTTATACTTTATTTTTCATTATTGTAGTTTTTAAATATATGGTCACTAAGAGAGTATTTGAAGCTTGACATGCAAATATCTGATCCACCTTTCGAAGTTGATCTTGAGCGCCTTATTGATGATTTCATCTTCATATGCTTTTTTACGGGAAATGATTTTTTACCTCACTTGCCTACCCTAGAAATCCATGAGGTATTTGTCATGTCTTTGTTTTATTTATTTTTTCTGTTTCTTGGCTTTATATCTAATTCAAATCATTAGGCTGTGTTTGGTAGCAATGCAAATAAATTTATACTGATGCAAAATTATGGCAGTGCAAATGATTTGTGTGTAAATTCTGACCTATTTCTGTTTTAAATTTTAGCTTATTTTATTTGATTATTGCAGTACAAATGAAGATAATTAAGACATGAAACAGAATAAAGTAAAACACAAAACAAAATTAAATGAGAATTTGCATTTTTTTTCATTTGCACTTCACTGCAACCAAACGTAGCCTTATGGGAAAACAATTTAAATTGTGTGGGGTTGAATGGTTTCACCTCTGTTCTTCAATAGGGTTCAATTAACTTGATGATGAGCGTATACAAGGAAGAGTTCAAGAACCTGGGGGGCTATCTTGTTGATATGAGCAGAGTAATTCCTTATCTGTTACATTTATATTTCAGACCAAAGTAGAGGCACTCATGCAATTTTCTGCTGTTTTAATGCTAAACAGGTAGAGGACAAGAAATGTGGATATGTAAAGTCAAAAAGGGTGGAGAAATTTATCCTTAAAGTTGGGACTTATGAAGAAAAAATATTTAAGAAAAGATCTGAACTACGTGAGCGCAGGATTAGGAAACTCATGCGTGAGATTGCAGAAGCACAAGATGAGAATGCACAAATTGAGGTGAGAACCAAAATATAGTAGGTGCATATACACGTGTTCTTTGATCTTTGAACAAGTGTTTTTAGATGAGTTGGATTTCTGCAGCTGGAAGACTCAGTTCAGTTTGCCTCTAGCAAAAATTTAAGGCTCGATGCAACGAATGACTCTTTGGGAGTTACAAATGAAGCAACCTCATCTCTTGAGGCATTGGGGAATCGTGACGAGGTACTTTTCATCTGGGAAAACAAATTTCAGCAAAGATTCAGCTGTAGTATAATGTTTGTACCTTTTGGGGCAAAGATTTCCTTTTTGTTACTTTCTACATTTTAGATGTGGCTTATCATAGATGATGATACACTTCTTTGATGTGCAACAGTGGTTGAAATTACTTTCTGACACATCTGATTATTGATTTGTGATAGGTTTTGGAATCAACGGATACATCTGATTAAGTGTATTATAGGATTTTGCTTTTCCTTTGTCATGTTCTACTGCTCCTTCATGTGATGGTCCATGAATTGAAATATGGAATTGGTCTAATAGTTTTCAACATGCATGACACGCTATTTGGAGCACAAATATTAGACAAAATTTATCCCTCACTAACAGAAGAAGTAACATGTTTTAATATTTTTGGTAGAGAAGTATAATATTGTAAGCTATAGTGCAGATTGTTTATTGAGGGACAAGCTACTTTTTGGTTAGTGGCAGTTGAAACTAATTAGTTTTTCTTGCAGGTTGTGCAAAACACCAAGGAGTTAAATCAAAAGTTGAAAGATTATACTCGTGAGAAATCAGACCTATTTAAACAGGGTGGCTTTGAAAAGGACAGGGTTTGTGCTATTTATTGACAATTTTTGGTTTTAAAATGATTTAGGTTTAGATTGACTTTTCCTATTGTTCAGTAAAGATTACAGTGTTGCTGAATTAATTAACTAGATGATATTTTATCATTGTTTTTTTTTTCTTGCTTTCTTTAATTAACTAGATGATTTTTTACAGTTGTGTCTTTCTTGTTTTCTTTGTGCCTATTTATAGGTGAAATTGGGCACAGAAGGTTGGAAGCAGCGATATTATAAAGAGAAATTTTCCGTGGAGGGTGAAGCTGATTTAGAAAGCAAGAGGAAAGAGATAGTATGTATTGTTGCTTCACATTCATTGACCTCTCTTGCATCTGTTTGTTTATGACTTAAGGTTTGGACCCCCACCTGATGTAAAATTTGCATTCTGAAAAATTGATGCAAAATTTGCACCTCTTTCTTCCTACCTTATCCTTATGGGGACAACATCGTTTTGTTTTCTACCTTACTCCTAAATAAATAACATCACTCTTGTCTCCATTATTTTTCAAATAAAGTGGGGACTACATTTTACTTGCTATTTTACACCAGTGTAAGTGAACTGGCCTCAAAAGTAAACTGGAGTTTACACACAACCCATTTGCATTCCCATGCATTTACACCATTGCAAGTGAAAATTGCACTAAAATCAAGCCATCAAGTTCGTATATTCTTCATTGCTGTTTCTACAGATTGAGAAAAACAAATGCAAATACTTGATAAATTCCTTGAATTTGTTTATTTTCGATTTTGACGAGTGCTAATTTATTCATTAGCCACTGTGGTTTCTCTAATTGATTCATATCTGTTACAATGCTTTCTCCAACAAATTTGTCTAGGCATTTGTATGTAGTTGCTAATTGTGTTTTGCTTGACACTCTTTGGATTGATGTTTACAGGTAGAGAAGTACACTGAGGGCCTATTCTGGGTGTTGCGATATTATTTTTCAGGAGTCTCATCTTGGACATGGTAAAGTTTCTTTTATGCAGAACTGAACTGGGGATTCATTTTGAGAAGTTCCTGCTTACTAAGACAAGTTTGAAATTCGACTGTTTCATCAGGTTTTATCCTTTCCACTATGGTCCATTTGCTTCAGACCTGAAGGGTCTTGCTCAGGTCCACCCAAAATTTAAAATGGATTGTCCTTTTAAACCTTTTGATCAACTGATGGGTGTTCTTCCACCTAGAAGGTTAGACTTTGTTGTTTATTTGTTGTTCAGTAGTGAATTTTTGTTCGAACAGAAGTGACCGAAATTCCCTCCATTAGTTCTTCTGCCCTTCCTAGAGCTTATCGGGAGCTGATGATCTCTGAGGAATCCAACATCAGGGATTTCTACCCCCAGGGTAACTCATTTTATAATATAGTCAATGTCATTCTGTAACTTTGTGAATTTAACTTATTCTTGTGATTTTGATCAGATTTTGAAGTCGATACAGATGGAAAACGGTACATGTGGCAGGTGTTTTTCTGTGTGTGGAAATAATATTTTTTTAATGTATAATTTTTTATTTTAGTATTCTTAATTGTCCATTTGTCCTTGTTTTGCTGAAGGGAATTACAAAACTCGATTTTATTAATGAACACCGCCTTGTAAAGGAAACGAAAAAACTAGAAGAGGAACTGGAGGTATGTGGTATTTGATAAAAATGCTCAGGCCGGGAAAATCTTCACTTTGGTCAAATTTCTATTGTGGAAAATTACACTCCACTATTTACAGTTTGGAATACATTTGTAGGCAGAGGAAGCCAAGAGGAACAAGGAATCTATTGCTAAGTTGTTTCTCAGGTGTATTGCTGACATGGGATTGCAAGCCTTGTCACTTTATTTTGAGCAGCAGACGTCATTGAAGAAATTGATAAAATTGAGGAAACCCATTGATATCATTTCCAGGTATGCAGATCATAGCATTTGTACAGTTTGTCATTTTTTTTTATAATTTTCTCGTATAAATTAACCTAATTTCTAAACTGTTATTTGTTTTCATTCAAAATGCATTTCTTAGTTGATAAAGGGCTAAAAAGAATGCAATGACAAGTTACTTCGCAATATATATATATATATATATATATATATATATATATATATATTAATTTTTTGTTGCAGTGGTGGGTTAAATGGCTTTATCTGCCCTTGTGAAGAGGCTTCTTTGACAATTAGTTCTTGTTCTATGGAGGAGCTACAAGAAAATTTAGGGGAAGATGTCTTGTAAGTTTTGCACATAACTATACCATGTTGTGATTATTTTTCTTCATTAATCTTTGGTTAATTAGCCAGAGGCTGGTAGGTCTGTGAAGATGTTAATCTAGGTATAATAACCTTCTGGAGTACTAACATCTTACTCATTGTTTTCTCTCACATCTGATTCAGATGTGTTCTATATGAATGCCCGGAAAACCATCCACATATTCCTCGTCTTCTTGAGGGAGTGACACTTCTGGATAAGGTACACCCTTGCCTAATTAAAACTGTTTTTATTTTAATGTTTCCAAAATTGGTGACAAAGGGATCTAATTTATTTATTTATTTTTTGAACACAAGAAAATCAACTGAATTCACCAGCATTTCATGACAATAGATGAAGTCTTTCCATCTGGAAAGAGTTAAAAAGAATGCTTTGGTTTGAAAGGTGGTTAAAACAGTTTCCTTATTAACTTTTGAATGTCTAATTTGGTAACTAGAACCAAATATTGCTGGTTTTGGTTTTTCTGTTAAGATCCAGCTGCTCAAAATGCAGTGCAAGTAACATATGGCAAGTCATTGAATTGTAATTGACAATTGTCTCGTTAAGTTTGAGTTACAAAATAGATACTATCTACCTTGCCCATCCTAACAGGATTGATATACATGAGAATAGCTGTAGAGACCTATCATGGACACTCTTTTGATATTCTTTTATTTTATTTGGTAAATTCCACAAGAATGCATTTCACTATGTGATGACCGGAACTGGAGTCTTGTTCTGCTAGCAACAAACACTAAGCACATCTTCAGTTTGTTCCACCTCCACAACACTTCAGAATTTTCAAATATTAATAAGAATAAATGTATATCCTGACATCCTGTTCAAGTGTTTTGTTAAGATGGCACAAACCTGTGATGTTATTAGCACTCCTGGAACTGTGTGCTGTCACTGGCCCAGTCTACGATTTACTCCAGGATTGAATCGTCATCTTACACAATTGTGCCTGATTTTACTGTTGTTTATGTCCATTGGGTACTGTTAAATAGTATAATGAAGACATTGTGTTCATCATATATTTGGTTTCTGGTTGGTGATGGTAGAGGTGACTTGTATTCTGATGGATCCTTTATTAAAAAAATGTTTCAAGGGGGCTTTAGAGGTGTGCTTCGGTGTTTGTTTTATATATCTTGGTTGGAGTCAAAGTAGGAATTTGGAACTAGTTCATTGGTAAACTAGCTTGTGTGCTAAGGTTGTATTGGATTTAGATGAATTGAGAATGTGAAATTTTCTAGGGGTTCATCATTGGACATTGGCACAAATTGCTGAACCACGTTAAATTTCTTGTGTTTCTTTCGATGTTGTGTGTTTTAGTGATTCCTTGGTTTTAGGCATGAATTGCAATAATCTAGAACAATGTTTTATAAAAGTAAATGTGAAATCTTCTTATAGAGCTTTTAGCCTTCTATCTCTTACCTGCTTAAGTTCAATGGTGTTTGCAGACAATAACTGAAGATGATATTGTGAAGGAACCTCTCTGGCATGAATACGAGGGTGCAAGACTGCCTTATAGGTGATCCTTTCACTTTAACTACTCACTCTTTGTTTTGCACCTATTTATCTAACGATTTGTCACCATAACAAACAAAAATGTATTATATCCAGACTGCAGGTTTCAAGGAGATATGGGAAAGAAGTAAACAATACTAGTTGTACTCCAGATTCTTCATCACCAAAAGAAATATTTAAGGCAGCAGGTTCGGGCAGGGGTGCTGGAAGGGAAAGGGGAAGGGGGCGGATTGACTCATTGGATTCTGGCCAAAGATTTGAGCCTCATAGAGGAACTCCATCCAGTGGAAACAGAATTCATTCATTTGGGTCTGCTTCAGTAACTAGAGAATCTGGAGAGACATTCTTGGTTTCTGGTAGGGGGGGTGGCCATAACAGAGCATCAAACTATGACAAGAATTTTGGATATGGGGGAGCAATTAATGTTGGCAACCCTTCAGCTGGTCCATATCTGGCCAACAGAAGTTGGAAGGCTATGGGTACTGGACCTCCAGCCAGAGGCATAGGGAGAGGCTATGGTCCTTCAGGAACCTGGCAACCCAGCCATAGGGACTCGGGTATTGGGTGTCATAGTGCAGTTGGTGGCAATTCTTCTTCATCTAGTCCATCTTGGCCTTCAGGAACCCGGCAACCTAGACATAGGGACCCGGGTTGTGGATATCATGGAGCAGTTGGTGGCAATTCTTCTTCATCTAGCCCATCTTGGCCTTCTGGAACCTGGCAACCCAGCCACCGGGACTCGGCAGTTGGTGGCAAACCTTCATCTAGTCCATCTTTTGCCAACAAAAGTTGGAAAGCTGTTGGCTCTGAATCCTCAGGCGGAGGCATAGGGAGAGACAGAGGAAGTGGGCCTTTGGATATCTGTAAGCCCAACCCGCGGGACTCTGGTTTTGTGTCTCGTGAAGCAATTGGCGGCAAGCTTTATTCACCTGTTTCACATTTGCCCAACGTAAGTCGGAAGGCTGTGGGCTCTGGACCTTCAGCCGGAGGCGTTGGCAGAGGCAATGGGCCTTCAGAAGTTGGGAAACCTAACCAACGGGACTCTGGTTTCTCGTCGCCGAGAAATAGCTCCCAAACCTCTGGGAGGAAATCTGTTCCACAATTGTCAAGAGGAGCTTCAACTGGTCGGGGGCAACAGTAGTTTTGAGAACCGGCGTTGGTAGTTAAAAACCGTTAAATCTTTACTAATTACTACCATGGGAAGTGTCTATATTTGGTCTTTTTGCACATTGGGCCATCTACATTTAGTATAAATATCAAATGCCCCGCCTCGTTTTTGTTATTTTGCTTTTGCTACCGACCAGTACCAGTACCAGTACCAGTTTCTTCTTGTGTTAATACGTAATACAGCCCCACTCCGATAAAGGGGAAAAATGTATACACAATCTCGTTTTTGGCTTCAAATGACTGAAGAGTACACTCTCGGTGAGGTGACTGTTCAGAATATGCATTGCATAATAATAATTAAAGAGAATTTCTTTATTCGTCTGCCATTCCAAAACTCTGATCATCGAAGTGTTATTTGTTTTTTCTATTTTTGTGGGTAAAAGAATTAAAGATACCTTTAATTTTCATAAATTGATTTAATAGCCTAATGGTATTAGTTCGCAGTCGGAATTGGAATCAGCCATTATGGGATTTCATTCCCAAGGGATGGGGGTTCCGATTATACCTAACCAAATAGTTGAAATCAGAATAGTCTCTTCCCATTTTGATTCCAGACCCCTATTCCCCGAAGCAAATGGGCCCAAGTTTTTCAAATAGATTTAAAGATGTTTTATGGGCTGATGCCATTGGACTTGAAGATACCTTCCATCAACATGTGAACTCATTTAAAATTCTACTTGTCCCTTACAGGTAGAAGAAGAAGAAGGAAGAAGTCACTATTATATGTTTAATATTTTTCTTAGATTAATAGACCGTTGCACTGTTACATAAAATTAAAATTCTAACAAATTTACTTGTAACAACAGTATCCCACATATTGGGCTAACCACCATTGTTCATCTTGATAGATAAACCATGCATTACCTCAAGCTAAACCAACCTTTCCAATTTAAGATTCATAACTAGGAAAAAAAGAAGCGTTGATACATCATGATGATAAAAGATGACGGCTACCTGGCGGCGGTTGGTACTTGGTACAGTCTTCCACAAACACCACCAAGAACAGAGGCCGAATAGGTGAACTCTATGTTTTTAACCTCTAGATGTTCCAAATGCAATCCAAAATGGGAAAGGTTGGTTTAGCTTGAGGTATTCCAATGAAGAAGATAAGAGATTTTATTTGAAAAAGTGATGATGCGGATACTTAGTTGGAAGTCGAAGGCTTTGGTGGTCTCAATCATCCATCAAATGTTTGAATCTTTGCAGCCCATTGCCGGAAAGGTGACGAGGCCAACAACACCACCAACAGCAAAGCCAAAGGGCACAAAATTTTGTGCGTGTCTAAAGTGAAACTACTTTGGTAGCCTTAATTGGGAACCAAAACCCAAGACTGATCAGCACAGAAGTCCTTGCTTTAATCCTTCGATGAGAGGAGCACAAATCCAACCACACGACATAGAAAATTGGGTCGTTCTGGTAAGTGAATTGGGATCTGTTCCTCACACAATGCACCTCACTGACTTCAGTCACATCTCATCATGCATCGAGAATATCTCCTCATGAATAATAAATACAAAGTATGAGAGGTGTTCTTGATATGCGGCCAAGACAGACTCTGAGGTCAGTGTGAGGCAGGTCTGTGAAGAGCTGATCCGGACTCATTGTCATGATCACAGAGAAAAATGGAAGGTAGGAAAAAGCTTGGCTATTTCCAAGCAGAAGGACGGTACAAAAAATCTTGGCAGAAAACCAACATGCTTGAGAGAGAGAGAATTCAGTGTATGTTTAAGTATTTTACCCTTATTTTTTTGGTTGAATAGTCACACTATGCTGTTTTTGGATCACTAGGAAGTATGTTGTTTTTGGATCACTAGGAAGAGAAAACACTATGATCTACCCACCTAGATATAATCACTAGGAAGTATGTTGTTTTTGGGTACTTTGATTAAAGTGTTGTGGGTAGGAAAGGCAATGGGGTGGGTTGTGGGTAGGGATCATATTCTTTATTCCCGACCCTGATTATGAAATAAATCCCCATCCCTGACCCCAATCCCGTTGGGATTGAAAGTTGTCTTCCATCCTTGATCCCTGGCAGAGTCGAGTTCCCCACAAGGACCCAAATCCCTGATCTTGACTCCAGTTGGGGATTCCTATTAATCCCCATCTCCATCTCTGCCCTGCCAAAGCAATTTGCATCCCGGAAGTCGGGTACCTGGTGGAGATGGAGAAAATTGCCATCCCTAGTGATAGGTTGGGTTAAATGGTAAATTTGTATTAACTCCAGCCTTAATTTAGTTTCAGGCAGGTGAACCCATTAACAAACCTAATCCATTGGCATTGTAGCCTTATGATGTTTGTATATATAGGCTTGGTTGAATATGATGAGGTTGAAGCCAATTCAGGACTAGCCCCAAAAATTGGCCTAAGTCACAGGCCCTGATTGAGCAAGTTGAAGCCCGATGTATTCAACCCAAGCCCAACCTGCACTGCAAGTTTACATACTTGGTTGGTCAATCAGCCTGTACTATCTAAGTCTCTCTCTCTCTTGATAATAGTACTATCCAAGCCCAGCCCATGTAAAACTAGGATTGGATCAGATCAAATTAGGAAAATGCTCTTCATTTTTCGAGTGAAAGAATATGAGATAATGGTTTTGGTAGCAATGTAACGAAGAAAACGCATCCGTTTCTTTTCGTTGGTTGCTCATAGAAACCATCTCTTGACTGAGTTTGGATGGGCTTCCCACAGAGACCGCCCCACAGTCCATCCCCCTCGTGCATTGGAAACCTCTCCCGTGCTTGTAATGGGGAGATGTTCCTAATTCACGGGAGAGATGGGCTTTGGGGCGCCTGTGGGGCGTGTTCTGTGAGGAGCCCATCCCATCTCTGGACTTGTTGTATCTAGAAAATGCCCATTTGATTTCTCAACCATGGCAAAGCTAATGGGTTAAGCTTTTATGCTCTTATAAAAAATACATTTGATATCTAATAACATCTGCTAAATTCCTTGAAAAAACTACTAGTTATATCTAGATGCGCAACTCGGACTGTGTTAGGTTGGATTCGAGTCAACCCTAACACAAGCCGAGTTGTTGAACCCCCAACCCTAATCCTAACTCAACCGAGTTTTTTGGGTTGGTTTGGTCCAGTTTCTTCCCTTTGTTTTGATAAAATATTTTTATTTCTCAGACTTCAACCTTAACTGAACCAAAATATCACTCAAGTTCATGTTTTCGATCTAACCCTAACCCTAACTTTAACCTGACCTTGACTACTTTTGGGTTAGGTTTTGGCTAACCCGACCCAAGTCACTAATAGCTCAACCCAAATTGCAACCGTAGAAATAACTATATATCAATACTATATATAAAAGTGAGAATGCAGAGTGGAAGATTTTTTGGACTAAAATTACCTCCTATTTCATTGTTTGAGAAATAGTATAAAAGTCATCTTATTGTAGCTTTAATGCCAACTCTAATTGTTATTAAAATGCCCATATTTATGTATTTAGTGCATTAAGAGTTGAAAATGTAGCTTCAATTATTACTTTCCACTTCATTTAATCCCCTCTCATTAAGTCTTATAACTTAAAGTATTAACTCCCATTTTCTCTTATTAAATCATATATTAAGTTATTCTTCACTAATAAATGATACTAATTATATTTATGCCAATATTTTTAACAATATAAACCCATATATTTTAAAACTAACTCAATAACCAACCCATTCTTTGTCAAAGTGGTAGCTAAGAAATTCAACTATCTGAATCAAATTGATCAACCAATATAGTCATAATTAGGTGATAAAATTTTTAAAATAAAAATAAATATAAAAAATACAAAATATAGAAAAAAATTAGACACATTTTATGATATTTTTATTAAGGAAATTAAAAAAATAAGTGTAATAAACAAGAATATTTTTTATTGATAATAAAAATTAAACACATAATTTAGAACTAAGCAAAAATGAAATTATTTTACTGTTTGGCAAAGATCAATAGTTCATTAGGTCAAATTTGTTAGTGTTTAATGTCATAAATAAATAAATAAATCAATCAATCAATCAATAAAAAATAATAAAGTATAAAAATACAAAATGAATAAATTTTGCAAAAAGAACATTCATTCACATGTATAATATCATATTAAACAAGAAGTAAGTGTGACATATCAAAATTATTTTTATACATAGAAATATAAAAAGAATTATAGAAAAAGTTGAACACATCTAAAATTCTATATTTACACTACTATTAAAAATTTGAATAAGATTATGGAACATTCTTTTAAATAAAATACTTAATTATGAATTTAGTCCCTATTTAATTGTGATGTTTAAATTGTAAATTGAACTACTACTTAGGGGTGTCAATTGGATTGGATTTGGTCCAATCCGATCTAGAAAATATTTTGTACCAGTTCAATTTAATGTCTGGACTGTCCAATCTATTCAAATTCGTTTTAATTTAGATGGTTTTCAACCCAAACCCAGTCGATTGACACCTATATTCTTATCTTATATCAATGAACCAGATATTGACTTAATCCAACCCAATCCAATATAAATTTATTACGAATGGACCTGGTCCAATCCAATCTAATAACTATTTTGGACTGGATTGGTCCAATCTAATATGTCTTGTTGGTCCATCCAATCCGTCAAAATTGATTTTGGACCGGATGGGATCCAGTCCATTGACACCCTTACTACTACCTTTTCACTGTTTGGGTGACACCTTAGCTGGCCGAAGCTACCACGTGATTTGTCTCTGTGGCCAGTGACTTCGGACCACGTTGGCACACGTCACCACAACCGTGTCATGAAGAGGCCTCATGAGGAAGCAAAGTCTCACACGTAAAAGGAGATGTAGCCTGTCGAGGAGAGTAGGACCTCCTGAGAACCTCGGTGGGTGACCTCATCCTGACAACCCCGTGAACCTCATTCGACTACAACACATGTGTTCGGTCTATATAAAGGCATCTACCCCTCAAGATAAGCTCACTAGGATCTAACACACATTACGCTCCTCGACTTGGACAAGTTTTGTACCTGCTCAACCCAATTGATCTCTCTATCTCTCTCTCTCTCTATTATTGATTCGAGCATCGAAGTGCCTGCCTAGGGATAAATTCCTCGGGCCTCTGATTCTCTTTGTTCTTGCAGACTATGGTGCACGACCTCATCCTTCCACCTTGACCTCGCCCAATTGGCAGGACTATGTGCTGCGTGTTTGATTCGATATAGCTCGGATCAAACATCATTCACCT